GAAAACCAACCCCAATGGCAAACACCGGGGGGGGGGCGGCTTGTTTTACAACGTCGTTGCCAAGCGACGAAAACCCAACCCCGATGGCAAACACCGACAGTGGAGGGGGGGGGGCGTTTTAGCAACCCATCGTGTCAGAGGACGAAATGTGGTTTTTCAGGGCAAGTTGCTGAATCGAACTACCAATTATGTAGCAGGTATACTACCGGGGCATGGCGGTGCGACATGATTTCGCGGTCGCTAAACAGGGGGTCGCTAGACCGAGCCCCCCACTGTAATTCGAAGACGAAGTTCGAAACAACGAACGCTCAGAGAACCTACCCCGCTGTCAGTGACCCAAGATGATGCCACAACTTTCTGTCCAGAAGCCGAAGCGCCTCCTCACGGCTGACCACAACACCACCAAATAAAGGCACCGAGACTACGTAGCAGTGCATTGAATCACGAGCATGGACGAAGGAAGAAAGGACAACCGATGAACACAGAATACCACCAGAAGCCAGCCGCCATAAAAACAAAACAATTACGGACATCCACATGATAGACGAGCCAACAGCAAGCGTGCTTGCACCGCAGCGAGGGCGTGTTCAGCGGTAGGTGTGCAAAACACACAAAAATCATCTCGGAAAATAAACAACACAAGCTTGGACGTCAATTGCGCCGCTAATGACTGCTGTTGTTTTGTGTTTCTCTGCGCATAGTTTCTTGATGGTGCTAGCCCACTATGTAAACGAAGTCAACAGCACTTGTTTGCTCTCCAACGTCCAAACTTTTTCTTTGCTTTCGGTGGGTTTGCTTTGAACCTTGGAGAGCAAACAAGTGCTGTCGACTTCGTCTAGAGGAATAGCACCATACAAAAATGTGCGCAGCGAGACAGATGGCAACTACGCAACCACAATATAGCATGCACAAACGACCTACATTTACTTCGACGCTCTTCTTCCCTCTCTCTCACCTACTGCTTTAACTCTACAACAAAAACAAACAAGACATGAGACAAAAAGTTGACAGACGTTTGGGCGCTAAATCAGCGAGCCGGAGAGCTGAACAAAATCACCTTGATCTGAGATATCCGGCCCCGCTGCGCTGACAACGGCCTAGAACTAGGAGAATGCCTATGAGAGTCGGATAATAATAACTTTCGCTACTTTGAACTATCTGCAGGTTTACCCAATTCATCGGGTGGGATACACGGATCCTTTGGGAGAGAGGGCGGCGGGAGTAGGGTGTAGGCATCGCGCCAGTGGTGCAAAACAACTTCTGGTATGACACAAAAAAAAAATGCTGTTCTTGGCAACTTGGCAAGACCTTTTCAGAACGGGCCCAGAGATAAGGAACGTCAAGTCGGGCCGAGGCTCAGTTGCTTACTTTCGTCGCCACCGCTGTCGAGCACAGGTTGTCATCGGCAGGGTTTAGTGTACGATCGACCGCTGAACTATGTTCCTTAGAACTGCTAGTCTTCTTGTGGGAATTTGAGCTTCCGTTTCTCAAACGGATACCGCCCTGTTCCGAAAAAAAAAGCACCACTCGATACCAACGTGATTGTCCCGACGGTCCCTACATTTCTTAACAGAGTAGTATCCTCAACTGTGGGCCCCTTCTATACAGCACGTCGACGGCAGCAGGCGCGGGCAACCTACCCTCGACACAGCTTCAACATAGTCAACCTCCCCTTCCTCTCAGGCTGGCTCACCTCCCGATGTGTTCCGTGACCCTCTTCTCAATCGCTCGTTCTTGTCGACGGGGTTGGTTCAACATCACCATTCACCGGCGGCGGCGACGGGGGGGGGAGGGGCACGCTTCAATCGATTCGTACATTTTGGTGCGCCAGTTCAACTGCAACAAACACAACCTTCACACAAACATCCTCTTCCTGTCGTTGTACATGTGTCATGACATTGACAATAAACCGTCCGCATGTCTGCTCATGGTACCTTCTAACAACCCTACCGTCCCCCACTGACGAGGGGGCGTCCCGTGGTCACAGGCCAACAGCAACAAAAAAAAGAAGGGAGGAGGGGCTTCGGCGAACTAGCAGTCTACTCGACGCATGAAGTTCCAATTTGTGTGCGTTGACTGACAGCGGTACCTTCGGAGGGGACAGGGAAACGGGAGAATGCTAATATACATACACATATTTCGCCCTGAAACTCGGTCAACCCCTGACCACGTGCTACAGCGTTCAAGAAAATATCCTGCAAAGACTAACAAACCCGTTCGAGATTTAAAAGCAGTCGAAAGGGATGTGTTGCACTCTTCACGGCGTATGAGAGAACAACGCGGCTGGGTGTATTTTGAGTGTTTTTAAAGCCTACACACTGAACGTATTTATGAGTGATGCCAGCTGGTGCTAGTCGGCTTTGCATCCAAGGCGCCGCCTTCCCTACTACTACCACACTGGTAAGGCAAGAAACACGGCCTTGAGAGAATGCCGCACCGCAACCCCTGCGGGGAACAACTCATGACAGGGCAGCGCCGAAGGAGTGATTTCTGTGCGACCAACAACTCATGAAAAGGCGCCGGAAGGAGTGCTTACTAAAAACTGTATGACCAACCACCCAGCTGTATCGTCTACATACCGAGGGGGGCTGCCAACAGACCGAATGCACAAAAAACAACAAAACTTTGGATGTTTTGTCCCGCACAACGTCTGCCGGCGCCCCGGGCAAACGACACCACCGTTCATTGTGTCGGCGAAACAAGCATTTCTCTCTGAACATGTGGAATGATGCTGAAATTCTCCCTTCAGACATCAAACGCCCGCCGAATGCAGCTAAAATATGCATACATGTTTTCAATCCTGACAACACCGGCAACGTGAAGGGAGCAGTGCTTAGCTCTGGTGAAGTCGTGGCTGCGATCTAATAGGGTTGTGTAACAAAGGCAAAAACCCTTCAATATCAGACCCTCCTCTCATACAGGATTAAGAGGGTACCCAAATCACTATAGCGGGTCCAGTGCGTGGCATCCGATTTCGACCCTCGTACAGAATATCGGAGACACGGCTGTACTACAAATAGTATACGCCAACGGGGTCCGTCGCGCGAATTGTACGACACCAGAAGGGGCGAAGAACGTGCTGCCCGACACGCCGGCGCAAACGCATGATTCCGGGAGAGTTGCGCAGACGCAGTGTGGCCAGCCCAACACAAAAAACAAATAATAAAACATCAAAGAAAGAAACAATAATAAATGTCATAAAAAAAAAGTATTCGATCATCAAAATCCGCATAAAGGCAGGATGAAAAAAAAAAAAACTTCCTGTATGTACAAGCGAGGCCTCCGGGGAGCGCTCACGAACGAAAAGTAGTGTCATCAAGGGTAGACAGCGGGGCCAGCCCACAGCCGGCTGGCTGGCCGCCAGCTGAAAGGTGTGACGTTTCCCAAGCTCACACAGCTGGAGGTGTTTTCGACTCGGAGAGCCCAAGCGAACCTCAAAGAACAGCAAGGAAGCACCAAGGAAGTTTTACAAATCTGTGTACGGTCTTTCTTTTAACCTCACCTCCGCCCTGAGTTCTGCGATCTCTCTGTCCTTGGCCATCATGTTATCCAAGTACTCTTGCACGTTGAACGAAGGACCTGGACAAAAACGGGTACAAGCGGACAAACTGAGGGTACGTTGAACAAAGGGCCTGATACAGGTACATGCAAGAGACGAAGAGGGTACGTTGAATGAAGGGTCTGGACCAAAAAAAGGTACATACAGGAGGGCAAAGAGAGCGTACGTTGAACGATGGGCCTGGACCAAAAAAGGTACATGCAAGAGACAAAGAGGGTACGTTGAATGATGGGCGTGGACCAACAAAGGCACAAACAAGAGGGCGAAGAGGAGCGTGATTGACTCTTCTCTGTCGATGCGGATCATTTCGTGCTTGTGTTGGGCTTGGAGTGATGTGCCCACCTACACGGCAGAAATTCAGTGTGTGTGAGCGATGATTCTGAACGTGATGAACGACAAAAACAATTGAAGGCTTTGGAGAGGCCTTCTGCCGCAGAATTCTCACAATTCGTACTCCTTCGCACTTCGGTGAGAGATATCTCGACGTAGGTACGTGTGGGGCATGCTCGAAATGCACCCTAATTGCTGTTCGGAGCTTGCATTCTGTACAGCTATGCTCCTTCGGACGGATATGCCAATGTGGACACTACAAGGTAACGCGATGAGTCAATGTGGCGAACATATATTGCAGGGACGTTTGCTGCCGCGGTACAAAGTACAAATTGATGTTTCTCGAACTATATATGTGCGTTTCTGGCACCTTTGTGCTGTATGGTTCTCTTTCGTAGCAAAAGCATGAGAAGAAAACATGGAGAACAAACGAAACGTCGGGGGTTCTATCGATGCAATCTTCGCAAGTTGCACCGCCGAACAACCTCCAAACAACGTCCTTTTAAGCTCAAAATTGCCTCCTTTTTAACTCAGAATTTGCCACAGTTTTCTCCTGGCGACAAACAGGAAGCACGCATCGCCGTCACAATCTCTACATCGATGGTTAACACTCAATATTCCCCGATCAGACGAGTGCTTCCGTTTCGCCGCCGCTGCCGTGTCTCTGCATAGATTGTGGTGAGTGTACCAGCACTGGATAGTGACGTTTTGATTTCGATGTGTGCGGGTACAATAAGCCTGATTATAGGGAAGCCTAAATCATATCTTCGTGGTTTAGGCAGGGCATATAATGAAACACAGGGCTACGTGCCGTATTTTACATTTTTTTGCTCCCGTCGATATGACCTCCCCTCCCCAAAAACCACACAAACCAAGTAAAAGCAAACAAACTTATGCAATTTCAAATGACGTTTCGTCGAACGGAGGGGGGGGGGATTGCTGGACCGAGTCCGGAGGGCGG